TGTAATTACACCTATACACCTACACACGCATACAACAGGAGCAAACACACATACATGCACACAAAGAGACACACTTAAGACACACATATGTGTTCATACTCACGCATAAATAGACAAACACACTTACATAATACATGATACATACGTTCACACTGCGACAAGGACATATAATAAGCACGTAAAAAGACACACAATTTTATCACATACACACACAGAAACAATACACTTGATGAAATAATATGATTTCTATGTTCTTCTATTCCATGCCACACATACTGCACAAAACAATAAATATGCACATTATGCATTAACTGCAGGATGTAAGCGCACATGTTATACGCACCAAATTCTCTCTTGCGCGCATCCCATTGCCCAAAGTGAAATAAAATATGTTTAGGTGAAAAAAAAAAGAAAAAGAAAATCGATAGTAGTGAGTATAATAAAGTGTAATCTTTCAGGTTAAAAAAGTTGCTAGAAATAATATGGATAATGATGGTGATGATGATGATGATGATGGTGATGATGATGATGATGGTGATGATGATGATGATGATGATGGTGATGTTGATGATGATGATGATGATGATGATGATGATGATGATGATGATGATGATGATGATGATGATGATGATTATGACGATGATGATGTCAATAGCGTAAGTTTTACTACTATTATTACTACTACTTCTACTACTACTACTACTACTACTACTACTACTACTACTACTACTACTACTACTAACAATAACAACAACAATAATAACAATGATTATAATAATAATAACAATATAATAATAACAATAATAATAATAATAATAATAGTATTAATAATAATAATAATAATAATAATAATAATAATAATAATAATAATAATAATAATAATAATAATAATAACAACAACAACCACAACAACAACATCAACAATAACAACAATAATAATACTATAATAATAATGACAATACTACTACTGCTACTACTGCTACTACTACTACTACTACTACTACTACTACTACTACTACTACTACTACTACTACTACTACTACTACTACTACTACTACTACTACTACTACTACTACTAATATCAGTACTTCGTGTGTCAATGTCTGACGACGACCAATGCATCTACACAGTTACATTAATATTTCTTAAATCAAAATGAAAGGAATAAGGATTACGAGGAATTGTGTCTTTTGCTATTGGAGTTGTAGTCAATATGGTCAATTCTGGTACAGAAGAGTTTGCCACTTTTTGAGCCTTTGCAATCTATATTTCAACATAATAAGGATAGGAGAGAAATGTACTTAGTAACCAGGATTGTGGATAAGCACAGCAAGTAATATTATAATGTTATAGCTAAATTATGTTCAACCCTTCCCCCCCCCCTCCGCCCACCCCCTTTCCGGCCAGCATTCGACACAATTTATATGATTTAAGAATCGGGCTCTTTTAACCGTTGTGCTTGTTGATGCCAATTCGGAGATGTGAGGGATAGAAATTCCAAGGAGGCAGACGGACATTAATTGACAAAAGAAAACACAAAAAACACACCCTCCCCCGACCCAAAGAAAAGCAACCCCCCCCCCAAAAAAAACAAAAACAACAACCAACAACCCAACAACAAACAAACAAAGCAAAAACTCTCCACACGGGAATAGAACTCAAGTCTTTAGTGTGCGACAGCAAAGCACCTAACGGCTACCCCAAAGAAGGCGGTAAGTATAACAAGGTGCACTACTGCAAAATGTTGCAGGAAGAACACCAAGTGCCGAATTTCTAAGGTTGCGATATATATATATATACAAATATTTATATACATATATAAAAATATAATATATAATATGTATACATATATATATATATATATATATATATATATATAATATTATGTCCCGTTCGATACAATTCAGATGATATAGTAAGCGGGTTGCTTCAAATACCAACAACGTTTTCTCAGTGTACATCGAACTCGCTCATTTCTGTCATCGAATAGTTTTCTAGTAGACTAGTAGCTTTAAAGGTGAAGTGTGCGTAATTATTGTAATTCGACAAGAGCTGACACAGCAGGTTGAGCAGTGACGGCCGAAATTAACATCCAGTCTATAAATTATAATATGAGGTAATTCTGCGTCCAAAGAACTTGAAAGTTTCGTTTTATTTCTTTGTCGTCGTTGTCGTTGTTGTTGTCGTCGTCGTCGTCGTCGTGGTTGTTGTTGTTGTGGTTGTGGTTGTTGTTGTTGTTGTTGTGGTTGTGGTTGTTGTTGTTGTTGTTATTGCTTTTCTTGTTGTTGTGAATATGTATTGCTTATCGTTTGTATGGTTTTGCTTGTTTGTGGATGTTTACTTGTGTTTGTGCTGGGTTTGTTGTTGTTTTTTTTTTAGGGTTTTTTTTTTTGCTACTTGTTTATTTTATTGATACTGGTTTTTATTTGGTTATCAAAATCAACGGAGAACGGAAGTTTGTCTGTGAAACTGAAGACTCAAAAGATACAACTACAGGGAACCCCACGAAAGTGGCAGAAACTTAAATGACGTCACCAAGAAGCAGAACGTCATTTTTTGTTTTTCAGTTGTTGGCAAACAAGCTTATAAGATTTAACATTCAAATAAATTGTTTTCGTTTGAAAGGGAGAGAGAAGCATAATAATGTTTTTGAATTCCTGACCACGAGCTTATGAGACTCAGCGTTTAAATGAATTGCGTTTATTTAAAAGTGAGTAGATTAAAAAAAAAGCTGCTTATGATTTTTCTAAACTGAAGATATACACCAATAATCTTATGCGTCTTGACATGGTGGAATCAGGTGCTTGTCAATTTCTGGCCATATGGAGTTATTGATATAATCTTTACGCCTGTTCTTTTGTCTTGCCTTTGATAAACAACAAAAAGACAGTTATCTAAAATTGAAGCGCAGATATTTGCGATTTAAGCAGGTGGGGGATTCCTGATGTCAGAAATAAAATAAGCGAGAAAATGCACGCCACAATTTGATGAATTCTAAAGCTTGAGTGTCTTCGGAAACTGCAAATTCACCTTTTTTGGTGTAGAAATATATTTTTGATTGGATATAAAAGGTGTTGTGCTAAAGAAAAATTATTCTTTTAAAATACTGATTTCTTCGATTTCATTATTTTGACGAGCCTATGATATCACCACGATGCATAAAATTGTTATGTCGGTTTCACATTTAATTTATAGCAACAACCATCATGCAATGTGTTGCTGCTGTCATGCCAAGTTATTTTGTTTTATATTCATATATTTTCGAAATATAAAACACAACAAAAACACAACAGATAAGCAATAACAACAGCGACAGCTGTAACTATAAAATGCAAGTACGGTTGATGAAACATCAAAAGCTCCCAGAAAAGCAACAAAAACAAAACAGAAAACAACGAGTTGAAATGCACAGCAACAAGAACACAATTATGACAGCTACAACAACAACAGCAACAACAACAACAACAACAACAACAACAACAGCAATAACAAAGAAGCTCAAACAAACACTTACAATGTACATATGGCGACGAAAACTATTATCCACCTAGCGATCACTGTGGACGTAGGAGACAGATCATTATGGATGTTTCTCCCTTCCCCCCCCCAACCAAAATCAACCACCTCCCCCTCCCCCTCTCCTTTTGGTCATCTGTCGTCCATCTGAATTACAAGGCCACATGTCTCTGACACTAGGATCGCATGCATTGGTCGACTTACAATTACCCATAACAACAAGCAATTATTATTGTTTCGACCACGTTTGGTCTTCGCAAGGATATGCATTGTCGTCTTCCATCTATTCGCTACTTCCCTTTTGCTGGTGGTTGGTGGGTGCGTCTCTGGTAGGTGTTACTTATTTACTTTTCCATTGTTGTTTCTATCTGGCTTACTTTTTCCCAGCCCTGAAAGACGATTTTTTCGTCAGCGTTCTTCTCTTCAAACAAACAAACAAACAAACAAACAAACAAACAAACAAGCAAACAAACAAACAAACAACAAACAAGTAAACAAGAAGACAAATAAACAATCAAACATACAAACTGGATGGATGGACCCAGCAGAGAGGATATAATTAGTCCTTATCCTGAATGATATTATAAATGTGTTGAAAAGAGGGTACAGCATTTTCATTGATTTATTATCAAATCTTTTGCGACTGAACTATGTATTGGTTCGACTCTGGTTGGTATTGGAAACGTTTACAGTACATGAAAGTACATGTAGCACACGAGACATCATTATGTTGTCGTGTCAGGAGAAAGCACAAGACAGGAAAAGGGGTAAAGTACTTAATTTCATTCTGTAACATCTATCCTTTAATAGTGAATATCTCTAACCCTAACCCCGGCCTCCATCAAATACTTTAATCGTTACCCAAATCCATTACCCCAAACACCTAACTAATCTTGCCTCTAACAATAAACTCAATCTCAGCCGCAGTGGCCATACTAAAGCCAACCCAAGGTCTTTTCTTGATGTAGTAAGAGTTTTACGGCACTTGCATCACAATGCTATAAAAAATTGTCGAAGATTTAGATCTAGCGATGTACAATGGAGTAACAAACACCAAAAAAAAAAGAAAGAGGAGAGATAGAGACAACAGATGTTTGATAGGAAAGAAGGAGCATACCACACCAAAACACCGACCAATCAACCACACTTTAGCTCAAAATCATAATCTCTACACAGTAGTCTGTCCTCAGTTGAACGAAGCCCATACCGCACCGCAATAAAACAGTTAAATAATTGGCCAACTGCTTTGTCGGGGAATGTGGACTATTAAAACAAGAGAAGCACGACTAAAATGTGCCGTGTTGGTGTGATAGGCTTCTCTTCTTTTCATTGTCCACCACTCACAGAAAAACATAAAACAAAACAAAAATGAAAAAACCCAACAACCAGAAAACAAAAACAAAACAAAAACAGTTGGCCAACTGTTTTATCCTAGTGCGGAACTGTGCTTACTCTACTCTCGTCCACCTAGGCTAGCCGGCAGCAGTATCAGTTGTCTTGACTCACGCGCTCACACATCCGCATAATTTTCAGAGCTCATCCCTTTGCACGTGTGTCCTACAGCTGTCTCCCCTTAACAACAGGACAGTATCCCCGCTCACCACAATTCTGTCTCACACCTACTCACAAGCGCTCACTTCGCATAATAATATTCTGATAATATTTGGCCACTCAGAAAACGATGTACCTTGTGCGTGTTTGAGCTTCGTTCTCCGCGTCAGTTCAGACATTTTTGTCAACAAATTTGAATTTATCTCTCTACCTGGGCCAATAATTTTGTTTGGAAAATACTATTCGCTTTTCGTAGCACGTGTGTCACTGTGTGCTATGATGTTCTCGAGTGTTTAAAATGCCTGACAAGGGATGCAGAACTGGCATTCATCCAAGGATGTTTTCGTTTCTATCGCGCTGTGTTCCTCTCGGCTTCCTTACCGCTGGATACACTGAGGACGAAGGTTCAGATCTTGTGAGCGTGCCTGTGAAGCATTGAGGAGGTGAGGTTCGATTCCAATCTTAAAGTTATGGTTTCGTATTGTCGCACAAACTGTTCAAGTGTGCTAAATCTGGAAAGCAGAATTTTACAGGAGATAGGAAAAAGAACCTGCTAGCTTTTTAAATTAATTCTACCTATCCTATACTATGCATTTTTTATTGCCTTTTTCAAAAATTAGAATTTGAATAGCGACAGGATATTCTTGAGCAAATACAACCAATACTACCGATCACGAAAATACAATACAAACACATCCGATTTTTGGGTTTAGTACATTTTAACAGCTGGCCAAGGGTATTCGAGCTTTAATCATCGTCGTCGTCGTCGTCGTCGTCGTCGTCGTCGTCCTCCTCCTCCTCCTTCTCCTCCTCCTCCTCCTACTCCTCCTCCTCATCATCATCAGTAATATTACCGTTGAAAAGTAAACAGGGAGGCTTTATGTGTGGTTTTGCAATAAACACCCGAATAAAATTGTGTCTGTACTGATTCACAAAGGGCTATGTTCATAGTGGAAAAAGGATGTCGGTAGTAAGAGTATGATACTGGCTATCTCTTCATTATCTTTCTAGATTAGTGCTTCACAATCTTTTTACCGTCAGCGCACATTTTTGCCCCCTTCAAGGGGGTGAAACTTTCATACCGCCCTCTACATCTAAAATTTTTTCCAAGTAGGGCATAAAAAATACCTGTCACTACCCGGGTGATCCCGATCACCTATTAAAAAGTAAAGTTGTTCCTGCATCCGATCCGGACATTGGAGATTGCCTTGTTAGTGAGACAATTTCCTGGGGTCTTTGGCATATTGTGGTAGGGTGGCCAGTTCCTTTCCACACCGCCTTTACTTCCCCAACTCGAAGTCAGGTACCCATAAACTGCTGGGTGGGCAGGAGGGGGCGAAAAATATCTGTGTCCGAACCGAAGCTCGAACCTTGACTTGCCGCTTCGGAAACGAGCGCACTAACCGCTCTGCCACCGCACCCTCCATCACCCATTAACGTCAGCAAATCGTCCCCTTATGGGCGATCCAGGTTGGCGGGGGGTGGTTGGAGGACGCTTCTGGTAGGTCTTACTTCTTTACTATCCCTTTGTTGTTTCTGTCTGTCTGTCTGTCTGTCTGTCAGTCTTATTTTTTCCCAACACCAAATTACGGCTGTTATTGTGTCCATGTGCTGTTCTTTCCTCAAACAGACCAACAAAAGCCTATGTTGGCAGGCACTGTTTAAGATCACCGTCGCTACAGCTACAACTAAAAGCAATAAATCCTCCTTTACCACCAACATGGTCTTTATTTTCAATTCAATCTACAAAATTTACAAAAGGTAAAGATCGTAGCTTCAGTTTTACAGTAATTGTTGTTCACTGACGTAAAGAAGGGCGTGTAAATCCAGAAATACGCAGAAGTTGAGCGTTCAAATCTCATTTTGGTCAGGATTTTTCTTGACTTATACGAGCTTAATTTTTTTTTTTTTAAACATCGGACCAGGAAGTTGTCATACGATATCTAGTTATATTTATTGGTCTTCTCGATTCAACGACCACTTGATGTCTTGAACAATCATACACATAATAGTATCGTGACTAAAACCTAAGCTCTCATTGACGGATCATTCAGTACTATAGGGAGGACAAATAATGATAGTCAAGACGTATTCATGAACAGAGTGATGACTGTCAGTCTCTCCACATCGACTCCATCACACAAAGGCTCGTCCATCTCCACCATCAGCCCGTTTCCTCGGACACAGTAGAGTTTCTCACACATTGAGCCTTTAAAAACGTCGTTTCAACTTGTGAAAACTAGAGTAATATGTATAGTTTTACTACCCTTTTGCGAGCTACGGGAGAAAGAAAACAAAAGAGTGAGGGGGCAGCTCGTGAAAACGAAAAAAAAGGAGCAGTTGAATAATTGAAAAAGAAAGACAGACACACTGGCATTTTTATTATACTTATATAACTAAACAGATGCTCACACAGACAAACAGATGGATGCGGGGACTGACAGGGAACATTAAAAAATGTGGTCGATTTTTACTTTTTTACTTGCAGCCTATCAAAGAATCAAATGAGCTGCGAACCATGCTCACCGATGTCTGTAGTTTAAGAAATTTCACGGAACTTTGATAATGGAAATGACTACCTGTTCACGCTTTTTGTTCGCTTATTGATCAAAATTTTACTTTAAGTGCTCCGACAACTGCTAGTTATTTCAATGTTTCCTTTATCCATCAACTTCGATAACGCAGCAATATAATAAAAGAAAATGAAAGAAAACATAAACTGTACTGAGGGTGTAAGCCGATATGACCTTTGCTATTCCTTTACGATCGGCCTACGTCATGTCTACGTTCCAACTTCCAATGCCTTTGAGTAAATTAATAAGCAGTCAGGCCTGTACTTTAGTGTAAAGTCGATATTCTATCCGTGCTCTAAAAATGCAGAGTCAACAAATTAATAGTTGATGGACTCATGTTCCCAGTGATCAGGCTGTCGAGTAATAGACCAGTTAAATATGGCCTATGGGTCCATGTTTTTCCGTGTGCCGTCGGGGTGAAATCATGTGCTCGTAAAAGTACATAAAATAGAATCGAAGAAACCGACCTTTTTTCAGCCTGTTGGGCAATCTTTATCGATATCTTTGTTTTTTGTCTCAACACCTTTTATGCCAATTTAACAACACATTCATTCCAGGATTTTAATGGAAAGAACGTTGATCTAAGGCACAAAAAACTAAATTTTCAGGTTTCATGGACACTGAACCTTTGGAAGTCGCCAATCACTAATTTTATCTCTGATACCAGTAGACCACCACCTTCTTTAATAGCAAATATGTCAACTTCTATTTGAGATATATAGCTATTTTATCATCAAAGGAAAGGCAAACTAACAAGTTTTAAGATTATACCAATATGTTTATATCTCTACCTTCTATATGCCTTTTGAGTTACTAAATTCATCAGGTCCGAATCAATATAATGTTTTACCTGCTCTATTAAAATCGTAAGAATATTTGGAGCTGCTATAAAGTTATTCAGAGAACTGCATTCGAAAACACTTAACATGTTATAAGAGTTAAAAATTTTTAACCTCATTTTTTTTCAAAAATTGGCGCTGAGCAAATATACTTTTGTAATTCTAGGGTAGCGATATCTCAACCCTCCCCCACCCCCTAAAAAACCCCAAACAAATCCCAAACAAACACAACCCCCCCCCCCCACACATACAACACCCCCTCCCCCCAAAAAAAACCCCAGACAAAAAACACCAACCAACCAAACAAAAACAAAACAATAAATAAAACAACAACAACACAAACACCACCACCACCAAACAAACAAACAAACAAACAAACAAACAAACAAACAAAAACGACCGACCAGCGCCTGGTTCCACTGCGCTGAGCCACACTTCTCACTGATAATTAAAATTAATTAGAACTGCTGACTGGAGACTTCAGTCAGCTCCGGCTTATGTCGTAACAACATTGCTGACGGCTGAAGTGAGGGTTTCACCTCATCACCTCTGCGCCTGAACTTTTATGTAGCAAAAGGTTCGTAGGTTCTTCCATGTCATGTGTGCCCCCCGGGGCGGTGCTACTGACTGAAGTGTCTTTATGCCATTTCCTAAGGGGGACTTTAATCTGTTCTTATGCACAGTAGAATTGTAAAAGGGCTGATTCATCGATGTCATGCTCATAACTCTGCCTGAGCTGCAACAAGGAACTGCTGCTTTTTCTTTCCTATTCCGCACTCTCGTCATTTTTCCTGTACTTCTTTCGTATGTTTGTCACACTCTTGTAACCCGCTATTTCCGGGGTGCCTTGATAGTCGAAGCGGCAGACTTTGTGCTGTTGAAGCTAGAGAGGTGAGCAGAGTAAGCCTGATTCCTAGTAAGGACTTCTCTTTTGACATCCACCCCTTGGCGCTCATATGACCTTATTATGCAGTTGTGCGGGCCGTAAAACCTCTACTAAAACAAAACAATGTCATGCGTCAGTAGCCTTGTGGTTAGGCTCTCGACTCGCAACCGTAAGCCCAAGGGTTCGAATCTCTCCAGGTAGCCGACGTTGTGTCCTTGGGAAAGTCACTTTACACACATATTTTCCAGGTGAGAATGGGTGCTCGGCCATAGGCAGGGAATTTTCTTTTCAGTTTGTTAGTGCTTGAGCGCTGGATCAGCTGTTTACAAGCTGTGCTTCGTAGGAAGCCGACTGACGAAGTTTCTGAGTGATGCGGGGTCTGCTGGGGTACCAATAATATAGTATAGAGAGCATAGATGGTGCTGTAGAGCGGGGATATGAGCTATAAAAGGCTATTTATAATTGCTCATTTATTTATTTATTTATGCAAATTCCACTAAGTCTCCTCCGTAGATTTATGACAATTTCAACAAAACCCATCTTCTCACTTTCTCCGTGTTGTCTGTGACGCAGCATGGAATTGGTATGACTCTATTATCTCTGTTCAGGTAAGGCGAAAACAGCACCCAGACACGGATGGCTGGTGCATCTAATATTTAATAGTGGTTAAGGTTTCTTCTCAGTGTTATTATGTCGTTCTGAATCTTGCAAAATGCACTGATTGTCATGGGTACTCAATATACATTCATTGAGGCCTCCAGTGAAAAAGGACCCAAAGTCTATTCCTTGACCAATGTGTCTCAGTAAGTTACTTCCTTTTTTTTTGAGTGAAGGGAAAACACATCAACAAAGTGAAGGTAATTTATTTCGGGAAAATATAAGAAAGACAGTACAGAAGTAGCAGAGTGAAAGTAAAAGAGGTAGGAACTACCAGTGGCGCCTTCCAATCACCCTCTCATAAAGTTTCAAACTTGATCAAACACGCAGACACTGAGGGTAAGGATATGGGATATTTTTTTTTTCGCTTTCCCTCTCCAAATTAATAAAATATTACTCCACGCTGCGAACTTGGGGCGGCGTCTATTGTTTAGCGGTTAGGCGCTTCACTGTCGCATGCGGGAAACTCGAATGAGGAGAAACTAATT